AATAAACATTTAAAAATCATTGTATGTATTGAAATATGATATTGGGTTATTTATATAAGTAAGGACAATGAAAAATCTAGGTGTCCAACTAACCTATATATCTTGCTAGGGTACAATTTCACTTTTACTGTCAGTTATAAATCACTTGATCTGCCAAATACTTTTTCAAATGTTATTTCTCAGTAATAGTAGATATTGTTTTGTTACTAATAATATTTTTCAGACTTAATTTTCTGTTACTTTTATGTTGATAAAGGTCTAGTATTTACTGTTTTGTTTAAATACACTTCTTTTGTAAAAGGTGAGAAAAAAAAAATGCCACTAAATGCCTTGAATATTGTCAGTCCTTTAGTCCTACAATAAGATCTCCTGCTCAGAAGCACTGGTTTGGTAGCACTTTTTGGACAACGTGACAAAAATTATAATAAAAATAAGCTTTTGTAATCCTTGAAGCTACATAAAAATCTGTAAAACTTTCAACATTCGACCATTTTTTGTACAGATGCTATGCCAGTTGGAAGCATTAGAAGTGCAATATAAAAGTGTTCTTGTTATATAAGATAAACAGGACAAATTTACTTTATTTAAGATTATTGAAAATGCAGTGATATTTGACATTTTTATTTAGGAGGGAAGGTCACATAATGTAGGAACTTCAAATTGGACAGAGAAAAGGTCAAATGATTTAGGCCTGCAAATCTTTAAACAAAAGATCTCACGATTAAAATAGGTAGTAATTTATATACTGTACATGAATTACTTTTATCTGGTAAGATTTTTTGTGAAAAGTCTCAGTCTCGTTTTTAATAGCACTAGAAGTAGTAACAGATTTAATCTTTAACAAAATTTAAGGTAGACTCAGATAAATATATTTACATCTAGGAATTCTAGATTGTACAAAATAATGTTAATGTTATAATTTCTTCCAATAAGGATGTCTAGGTCAAATTCTGTCAGAACAAACTTTGTAACATGCTAGAGACACCTTAAGGTTAAAATATTGATCACTATAGTAACATGAAAATGACATAATGTAGAGAAATTAATGTAAGGTTATAAAAATAAACATCAACTTTTAGACATAAGTAATTAGAAGGCTATTTAAATATTTTTGGAAGCTAAAATTGGTAATTAGTAATGACAAAGAAAAGTGTCCTGTTGTAATATCGTCTGGCCTATCTATTATTTTCTTTGAAAGAAGTAGTTATAGTCTTTGTAATATACATACACATTAACAAATAGTATGAGTATAATGAGTGATATAAAATAAATGTCACTATGACAGCAACCTAACTACTCTTTTATACCATTTGAAAAATAGACATCTAAAAGGTACTTAAGTCCTTGACTATATGAAAAGGTTCTAACCATATGGCATACTAAAAACCGACACACTGAATGAGTTAGTAGTAGCAAGGAAAAAACAGTAGGTGACAACCACTGATATATCTGATACATACACATATAGCTTATTGAGTACTCCCCCACTATCTCTGTCAGTGAAAAAAAAACAGATGGTATGGTGTAAGTGCTATTATCAAGTTATCAACCTTCAAGATGGAATATAAGCACAAATTTATACAGAGGCAAAATTTAGTCTGGCATAATATGCACACACACATCAAGAAATAAATAATCACTTGAGCTTAAAATATACAAATCAGATATTTTAAGGTCATCTGCCTGATTGAAGGCCCATGTTAACATTGGTTCTATAAGTGTATTGTACTATGAACAAAAGAAGGTTTTAAATGAAAATTATGAATTAAGTTAATGTTCCTCCTGAAACCATTTGTGTTTACAGAAATAACAAAATATCAGATTCAGGGTAGATAATTGTGTAATTGTGGTGGTTAGTTTGACACTTTTCTGAGTCACTTTTTGATAGGCAATTTTCATATCAATTATCGTTTTACAAGATGTCTCCATAATCTTTGAATGTGTGACCATTTACTTATATCCATTATGTCAGATCTTTTAAGGTATGACCGTTTACCAATCTATTATGTCAGAACCACAGGGTGTCAATTGTAAGTGAAAAGTCTCATATTTCTTCTCTGAATGATTGAGTTTTGTATATTGTAAGTAAAAAGGTCATTACACTTTGTAAAATATGAGATAGTTAACCTCAAAGAAGGACAAAAAGAAAGGTCAATATGTTTTTGTAAGATACACAAATCATACTGTATACCAGAAACTCAGCATAGTGTACAAATGTCTCTCTATGGTGCATGGAACATAGGACAGCTTCAAATTACAACAGCTTAGGATTTTATGTCATATTCAAATAGCTATGTTATTGTTGGTCCCTTTAATATATTACTTTATATTCTGCTGATTAAGATATTAGGCACACTGGTACTTAATTTTGTATTACATCCTTTGCATTTTATATTGGCCTCCAATCAATTATGTACTTTTATTAATGATTTATCACCTTTTTAAATAATAACAATAAAAATAGACAAATTGAACTTTAAAAGTTGACAAGGCACCAGATGTTCCAACTGTTAAGGGTGTACTTTAGTCTATATTTTTGTTCCAGTTCCAATTCATACAGGTGTAGTCACACCTGGGTAATTAGCTCATTAAGAACAGGTAGGGAGTGTTACAGTATTATATACCTCTTAAATGTAAAAAAAATCATTTAATAAGTAAAATATACAATAAAAAGGTAAAAAATTGTTTTTCTTCCTTAGATCACCCAAATTTTTTTTAGCTACTTAAGTCAATTTGTTTAAGAGTCTTTCTCTCGAAATTAATGTCAAAATGTTCATCTTTTTCATAGAAAGGTTTTATAGTTAATGCAGATCCTATTTTATATTTATGTATGCATTTTTATGATTTTTTTTTAAAGTTTTACAAGTATTTTTCTTTGTCAGCTTGCATTATATTGGTCATTTGTTTCTTTTTGGATGGTGTTTTATATATGTGTCAGGTACTTGTAACTTGTCAAGACAATTACATGAATTGCAAAATCATTGATTTTTAAGAAGTGAAAAATGATTCATTAATAAAACATTGAAATTATACATTTGCTTATATAAGTGTTCATATTAAACAGTACAAGTTATAAAGACAAATTATTTTGGTGCAATTTTTTTTCAAAAATCCAAGGACCTTCCATACATGACTGGTTCCACTTGTGAAACCTTCTGGAGCACATGAGTTTACCCATGGATTTTGGTGGGGTTTGTGTAGCACAATCTTAGTTTTTTCTGTATTCAGGTGTTAAATGGACTGTTGTTTGTCCTTTTGTCTTTTTCTTTTGTCTATATTTGTTGGTGTAGGCTTTTAATTCATTCTTGGAGTCTTCTTACTTCTTTTATTCCTATTAGTTCTAGTTAATGGTCAGTGTTTTCTGGGAAAAGATATCAGTGTCAAACATTAACAGAAGATGGATGCTATAATGGTAGCAATAGGTCATGCTGTCCATTTGGCCATCAGTCAAGAAGTGGTTATATATTTAGTTAATTTTAAATGGAATGTTCTTGCTCAATTTTTCAACCAAAATCAGACACAGATTTTTTTGTGTTGTTTCAACAAACAGACTTGACCAACTAGTAGTTATCCTTTTAAAAGCTTATGGTATAGATTACACATTATGATTTCGTTATTGAACACAGCTGATATGCAGATTTGAAATTCATCTAAATGAAAATACTGAAAAAAATTGGTTTTAAGAAAAAAAATCTTTTGAATAAAATAGGTACTTTAAAGTTTTTATTGATTAAAGATTGAATTTGTTTGATAATTACTGTACAAGATAATTTCAAAAATCTGCATTCTGGTCAGTTGACTGAATAAAGAGCATCTTCAAATAAGGATAGCTCTTTGATTACATGAACTATCATAGCTGTTTTTATACGCCCATTTACAGGACGTATTATGGTATACCGTTGACCGTCTGTCCGTCCATCCGTCGGTCTGTCCTTCCGTCGGTCTGTCCGTCCGTCGTCAACATGTCGGATATTAACTCAAAAACGCTTTAACCAATATGCATGAAACTTTATTGAATTGTTTATATTCTCATGAAAATTTGGTGAATTATTTATAGCTATTGATGTAATCTCCCTATTGATTTTCATAAATTTCAAATATGACATTGAGAAGAAATATCTATTGATGTGAGCTCCCTTTCATTTTTTTTAAATTTCTGATTTACCGTTTCCGAGTTTTGGGGTTTTATTCATTAAAAAAGGGGGGATTTTCCAGTTTTCCGACAATAACTCAAGAATGCTTTCACCAACTTGCAAGAAATTTTGGTGAATTGTTTATATCTATTGACATGAGCTCCCTTTCGATTTTTATGAATTTTAGATTTTATGTTTCCGAGTTACAGGGTTTTATTCATAAAAAAGGGGGATTTTCCAGTTTTCTGACAATAACTAAAAAATGCTTTCAGCAGTTCTCATGAAACTTTGGTGAATTATTTATATCTGTTGATGTAAGCTCCCTTTAGAATTTTATAAATTTTAGATTTTACATTTCTGAGTTATAGGGTTTTATTCATTAAAAAAGGGGGGATTTTCCAGTTTTTCGACAATAACTCAAAAATGCTTTCATCAGTTCTCATGAAAATTTGGTGAATTATTTATAGCTATTGATGTAATCTCCCTATTGATTTTCATAAATTTCAAATATGACATTGAGAAGAAATTGAACTTTATTTGTTTATAGTCTGACAACAGATTTACTTAGTATTGCACAACAGCACAGTGTATTGCACAACAGCAAGAAATCTTTAATTGAATATAATTTCAATTCATATAACTAATTTCAAGTTCTTTGAATACATTTATTCAGCAACCTTTAATATGTCAAATATTTAATTACAATCCAAATTCAGACCTGTGTCAAGCTTGAATATTGTGTCCATTTTTGCCCCAACTGTTCAGGGTTGAACCTCTGCGGGTGTATCCAGCTGCGCTTAGCGAAGCAGTTTATTCTAGTTTTCTTATGTATTGATCACCAGTATATCGATTTATTTTATTTTACAGATACTGTGGAACCTACAAAATAACAGAATCCTCCAGTAAATGTACCAATACTACACAAGAAAATCATAGCTGGGCTAATGTGCTGAAAATTAATGCTGAAGTTTGTGCCGAATGTCAGCCTTTTGCCATGCATAAACATTTTGGAATGAGATGCAAAGGACATGGTGTACCCGGAAAGATTACACGCTGGAGAGCCATTGATGTACCTCACTGCAGTGGAAAATGGGAGCTGAAAACTATTGATAGGGGTTGCACCTGTAACGTTCACCAAAACAAAGATTTCATCTTCATCTGAGCTCTTGGTTTTAAGAAACTTGTATTTGAATTCATCTTAAGGAAAAATAGATCAGTGTACTTGAGATGCTTGAAGACTAGTACTTGAATGTCAAATTGGTTGAATGGTTTTAACTGTAATGAGTTTTGCGCATCTGAATTTTTTTATTTTTTTTTAAATCATGTTTTTTTTTGGTTTTTTTTTTGGAGGATATTTCATTACAATGTATTTTATTAATTTTGTTATTTGTTTGTATATTAATCAAAATAAGGATAAGATTTATGATAATCCTCTTTTATTTTTACTCAGACATTTTAAAGTCATATATATCATGTATTGAGTATCGTTTGCTACAAATATTACAAATAACCTATCAGAATTTAGTGCTACTGTTGTGATTAGTTTGTGACCAGAAAACATAAGATATATACCCTTGAAAAAGAGAGGCAGAACATACTTAAGTATATATATGCAACTAATGCAATTAAGTTTGTTTCTCACTTTGTACACAGAAAACAGAAATCTAAATCATGACATCAATTTAGCACCTAAAAACCAACTTTTTCTCTACACAATAATGTTGAAAAGATAGAAACAGATTTTATTGTCCTATAATGGACTATTAACTGATAATCTTTATAGTAAGGCAATTTTGGATGAGTCTTTATATAGATATAAAAAGTTATGAATGTATGAATTTTGAAGACAATTATTAATATATGTTTGGAGAACTGCAGTTGTTTACATTTAAGGTAAAAGTAATAAAGATGTTCAAATTCTCAAACTGCTAGTGACATAAGCCGTTTTTAGCTCCAACGTTTAATAAACTTTAAATCCAAGCATCCAGCACAAAAATTCATGAACCACATTATTGTTCGCTGAGAATGGAATTTGAACATATCTGTAAACACTTTAGATGATACATTTTGCATTGTGTAAAATACTTTATTCTGCTGTAGTAATGTTTTACATCTGCTATGGTAATGTAAAAGCTTCACCATGAAGTTTTCATTGGCCAGTAATTTTCTCTTTATATGTGCATTTTCCTTGAGAGTATATGTTGAAAATTATAATAATTTCAATAACTGTCAGTGTGTCTTTTGCAGCATCATTGGCTTGTATAGTCATAGATAAGTCATCTTAAAATTGTGAATGTGAATCTTACTGGTTTTGCTAACTGGTCTATATGTCCAATCATATTAAGTTTAAGCAGCAGTAATTAGGTTACGTCTGTTATTTATAATTTTATTAATTAGAATCACATTAGATGTAGGCTTGAGTGATATATATAGCAATGTTTAATGTACCTGTATGTAACCTATATTGCATGCTCATATACCACATTTAATGTTAAATTCTGAGATATACTCACATAACTTCACAACTCAGTGTACAAGTTGTCTGACTCACATAACTTAACATCTCAGTATGCAAGTTGTATGACTTATTTGCTTTCACAGCTTAGTGTACAAGTTATCTGGCTTACATGTACCTTCCACACACAATGCACAAGTTTTCTGACATTGTTTTCACACTTAGCATACAAGATATTTACTATCATTGTTTCACACTCATTGTGCAAGTTGTCTGCTAACATACTTTCACAATCAGTGTACAAGTTGTCTGACAAATAACTTCATAACTGTAAGTACAAGTAGGTATGATTGTTTTATATATCAATGATTCCCTGAAGATTTTTGTGTACAATTTGCCTCTCATTTTATCAATTTCAGTGAGTCACAAACATTTAATGAAGTTTCATATCTAATGAGCATCTTTATATGATGGTTTTTGGCTTAAACTTTATAATAATGCAGCAATATATGTCTTGTATTTTCAGTACTAATTGTACAATTTATTGATACATTGACATCTTTTTTTATACATAAAAAGGAAATTTTAGATCTGAGTTATAGCCAGAATTTGTTTAATCAAATGCCAGATCTATCTCATAGTTATGTTAAATATGTTATTTTTGTCTAGTTTACATACTTCATCACAAAATACAGCAATTTGATGATTTCACCATCTGTTTTGATGCAATCATAGAAATTGAACATTTTTAAAATTAAAATATTTTCCTCATTTTTTACTGTCAACAAAGAACTTGTTCTTTTTACTTCTTTTTTTGTAAAATGGTGAAGTCAAAATATTGAATGTGACTTTTTTCTTCAAATTAACCATTGGTTAACAGGTTTGAATTTAAGAGTTTAAAATTTTACCAATTTAGCCAATGTAAAATATTTAAAATTTACTAGATAATGGCATTGATGAAATTTATATTAAATTTTAAATGGGTTCCTGAAATGTCAGTGGCAAGGAAAATGTAGTTAAAAAAAGAAGTTGAATTGTTTATTTGAGATTTTGTGTATGTAATATACATGTATTTGCTATCAATGTATATATATATGAACAAGGATTTAATTTGAAATAATTTTTGACCATTTTGTTGATGATGTTTGTAGTAGATTTTTATCAATAGCTTGAATATCACTATGATACCATAGTTGTATAATGGGTGATTATCTGTTTATGGTCACATATATCTAAATAATGAACTCGGCATGAACGTCAACTACATTCTTTAGGTAAAAATAGGAAATCCATGGTAGTTTGCTTGAACATTGTTTGTGCACATACTTCAAAAAGGGTTTTAATGTTGAGTTTCTGATATGAAGGCGACATTCTATATACCGATAAATCAAGAGCTTTCTATCTAAGCTACCTTTCAGGTTTCCAACAGTTTAGGCATATACAAGGGTGGTGATAAATTAATGTAAGAAAATATATAGAGGATATGTGTAGTTTATAGAAAGGGTGAAGACAACAAATGCTGATAAAAAAGGATGACATGTAAACATTATGGGGAAAGGCCAAAAGATGGTCTTCAAAGTGGAAATACAGAGAATATAGTATAAACTTTCTATACATAGCATTTTTCAATTCACTTTCATTCTCAATTTTTTGAGATTTCAAGTCTCTCAAATCCCACACAATTTATCTGAGAGGCACACATTTTTATCCCACATGTTTGGAAAATCCCCTTAATGTTGTATGTTTCCCCTTTGATCTTCATTCATTTTATCAAACTTCACGAAAATGGATTTCCAAATTTTGACATGCCTATGACTTTATACAGAAATGCTACATCATTAAGAAGTTTTTCAAGGTAACCCCTAATATTCTTTCAAAAGTGAACAGAATCTATTGTATTTTATCTATTTTAATATCAAGAAGATATTTAAGGAGTGATGATAGACTTTTATCTTTTATATAGTGTAGTCATGTGCAGTGTAGCAAGTCTTGTACATCTATGGTCTAGAATTATTCTTTTGTACAGATATTTGTAAATATTTTCTCTAAAATTTTTGATGCCATTGTTTATACTAGCATGTCTAGCATATATACATATAGGGGTAGATGTTAGCCTCTGTCCTGTTATATATTGTGTAAATAACTCAGCATTTCAGTTTTATACACTAAATGGACTTTTTAACAGTAATAAATACATTTATTTCATACTTGTTTTAAATTTTCTGCTAATGTATATAAACAAGAAGTTTGTGTAACAGACACACTACTTCATAAGCAGACAAAATCAAGACATCTAGAGTCGGCATACAGTCTATAATAATGGACATATGTATGTAAGTCAAGCACTTAACAAGAGGCTGTCCAGTGACAGCAAACCGGATTTTCTTGCAGAGGTCGAACCCTGAACAGTTGAGCAAGTATGGACACAACATCTAAGCTTAAAATAGCTGTGATTGAATATTTATAATAGATTTTTATCTAATTAATAATGAAAATGATATTTGCAAATCTGAACCCCAAACAGGATCATGTAAAAATTAAACATTAACACACACAACAAAAATAAAATACCACATAACAACTGTGACATCTATCTTTATAACACACATGACTTATTTAAAATAGTTATAAAAAAATTTTGATGTTACAAAAAATGTATCGTTACTGGTACATGGAATAACTTTGAGTTATTTCCTAAAAATAGTTCTCTAAAATTAGATATGATGTAACACAATGTATATCTATTTTCAAATTATAATCAAATATAATTATTAGTTCCAAATAATTTTTCTTTCATTTGTCACAAACTAATATAGATCTGCAACTTATCTATCAACTTTATCTACACAATGTAATGTAATGAAATATATCATTTAATAAAAATAGATTATAATCTAATTAAAGAAGTTCACTTCATAAAAAAAAATTATATATATATAGCATTCAGAAAATTAGTTTATACAGAATAACAAACAAACTTCCACAAAATTCTTCAAACAATTTACCCAAGAAAAGAAAAAAAAATCCAAAATGTCATTTATCACTAACACAATGTCTTTTAAAAATCTTTCAAAAAATGAGTTATTTCCCTTTGTACAGAAATGGATTAATTCATCAAAAAATGAATTCTTGGGAATGGGCTATTAACTGAACAACGAGAAAAGCTAAAATCATGAAAATTGAACTTGACCTTCATTTAGTCACAGGAAACAACATATCTAAATTTAAAAAATTTCTTCAAAGCATTTTCATGTAAATGAACAGACACTGATTGGCAGTCGCCTGCCCGCCCGCCCGCCGTTCATCACCAAATCAATAACCGATTTTATTTCGAAAATCCGGTTAAAAATGACTGGAATTTAGACATGCACTTTCAAGAATTAGTCCTGAATGGGCAATAAAAAAAAATCACCACTTATGATGGTTTGACGTAAAGAATCACTGATATGGGGGATGATAAAGTTTTATGAGTTCTTAACCCTCCCACTATTATTTCAGTTCAAAGAAAAATAGATCGAAAAAAATCAATCGTTCCAAAAAAAAATTCTAAAATGCTGGAGGTAAGACTCCACAAAATCAGGCCACATTAGACACAATACTAGACAACACCATATTAAAGAATGATTGCAGTCATTGACCACATGCTTATTGACATAGAAACCATTATTGTAGTTATTATACTACAGGAAAGTGGCTTTATTGTTCAGTTTAAGTTCAAGTATGTTAATGTACATCAAGCAAAAAGGTTGATCAGGAACAACTACACAATAAAAAAAAAGTGAAAAAAAAATCAGAAGTTGCCAGACAATAAGATGGATTGCTTTGTTGGATGAAGCAAAATTTGACCTCGCCCTTTGTTTCTGTTAACTGCAACTTTTCAGCAGACCTCAAACCCATTGACGTATTTGTCAGTTTCTTTGTTCCTCATGTCTTGTGGAAACTGTAAGGTTATAGTTGCATAGATAACATACATGGATCATACGTACTGCACCACCTTCATCCATTTAAAAACAGATCAGATGCAACTACTTACACAGATAAATTATGTGATACATGTATATCCAGTGGAAAATTTAGAGGATTCCTTGAACAAACCCTGCACTTATTAAAACTCCATTAAAAACAACAGGGTTGGATGATTTTGGAAATTTTTTTGCCCCCGCCATAGCGGAGGGGGCAATAAGTTTTACCCTTGTCCGTCCATACGTCCGTCCATACGTCCCAAAGTTGGTTTCTGTTCTCAAACTTAAGTTTGCCTCAACCAAATGTTATGAAACTTATACACAATACTTATTACCACAAAACTCAGATCAAGTACAAATTTGGGTAGCGTCACTTTTACCGTTCTTCAGTTATATGTCCCTTTATAACTTTATATGATATGCAAACAGGGGGCATCATCTGTGTCCCATGAACACATTCCCCATTTATTTGAATTATTTCTTGTAATGTAAGGCATTAATGTTTGTACTTGAAGTCATTGATATGGTAAGGAAGAGTGAATTTTTTAATTTACATGTAGTTGTGAAATCTGTTTTTGACAGACTTTTAACCAGAACTATTTTCTTTTGAAGGTATATATTTTTTAATATAATGTTTCAAATAGCTGAAAATGTAATAAATTATTCTTTGTATTTTTAAGGACACAAGTACAGATCTCTGTAAATAACCTGTTTTCACCCTTTTTTACAGTAGATAAGCACAGTGGGTTATATTTAATATAGTTCATTCTTATCTACATCTCCAGAAAATAATTGATTGTCATTGTTATCAACCAAATCAGCTCATTAACACAATTAATGATCCGACAAACGCATTCACAATCCTTCAATTTCACTCACCCATAAAAATACAATGTATTCATACAGGCAAAATATTAATTAGTAAATCTCAATTAGTATCTGGTGATTTAAGACTTGTGACATGCTTGGAATTTAATGTTACAATGTCAACTCGGTACAGTTCACATATACTGTAAATATTTCATAGGGTAATAAACCCAAATGTAATAAAGAATTATTATCTTTTGAATAATTCAAATTTTGATAATATTTACTTTATGTCGACAAAAATCAAATAAGAATTGTATGCTGATTTTAAGTATGAGTTGACCAAGGAAAAAGTTATGAAAGTTCTAGAGTTATGCCCCTTGACAAATCGAAAAAATTGCTAAATTTTTCATTTCTGACTCCTCTAACTTTAGTTTGCCTCAACCAAATGTTGTGAAACTTATGCACAATGCTAATTACCACAAAACTCAGATCAAGTTCGAATTTTGGTGGCGCCACTTTTACCTTTCTAGAGTTATGCCCCTTTACAAATGGAAAAATTGCTAATTTTTCGTTTCCGTTCTCTAACTTTAGTTTGCCTCAACCAAATGTTACGAAACTTATGCACAATGCTAATTACCGCAAAACTCAGATCAAGTTCGAATTTTGGTGGCGCCACTTTTACCTTTCTAGAGTTATGCCCCTTTACAAATGGAAAAATTGCTAATTTTTCGTTTCCGTTCTCTTACTTTAGTTTGCCTCAACCAAATGTTACGAAACTTATGCACAATGCTAATTACCACAAAACAAAGATCAAGTTTGAATTTTGGTGGCGTCACTATTACTGTTCTAGATTAATGCCCCTTTACAAATGGAAAAATAGCTAAATATTTTGTTTCCGTTCTCTAACTTAAGTCAAGATTGCCTCAACTAAATAGTACGAAATGTATACACAATGCTTATAACCACAAAACTCAGATCAAGTACAAATTTGGGTAGTGTCACTTTTACAGTTCTTGAGTTATGTCCCTTTATAACATATGCAAGCGGTTGCATCATCTGTGTCCCATGGACACATTCCCCATTTATTTCTTAAGAGTTTACCTACAGGCTTAAAATGGAGGAAAACATGATCACAGCCCACATTTTTGTCCTGCTCATTTTTATAATATTGGGTATTTTTATTATTTTTTTCTATTCACCTTTACTTCACACACATCCTTTCAAAAAATCTGTGGGCCAATTAACTATAAAACCATGCAGTAACCAAACATTGTATAAAACTGTGAAAATTAAATGACTGATATAATAAATCATAAAAAGTAAAAGTACAGTACATGTAGTAACTGATATTTTAGCCTGTAGGAACAAAGACTGCTTCTGTGTTGTCTTGTGTTAGTAATATAACCATCTATTATATTGCTTTTTATCATTTGGTCAAAAGTGTTCCAAGGACTACCATATGTAAATAAATAAACTAATTCTGTTACTTATCAGTTGACACTTCAAAGCTATCTTTTGCACAATGAAGTCTCTTTATCTATTTGTGTACATAATAGGTGCACATTTATTATTTAGATAAATGATATATGAACATTATTAGCTAAGTATCCCACCAAATCTTGTGATCAAATAGAGCCATAAGATCTGTTATGCAGTAAATCTTCCTCCTGTCAAACTACCAAACCATACCTTACTTATGGCAAGTTGATTTACTATTTATTCTAATTTCAAGATATCTAATAAACTTTATAAGATATCTCATATAGTTTATACGATATCTTATATACTAGTAGTTTATAAGATATCTTATATACTTTATGAGATATCATATATATTATATGAGATATCTTATATAATATATAAGATATCTTATATATCTAGTTTTTGTCTCGCCTTGACAGAGTCAAAAAGTGAGACGTTGGTATGCTGTTTCCGGCGTCGTCAGTGGTTTCAACAATGTATTAGTTTGTGATTAGGTCTAGTTTAAGGTGAACCACTAGTGGTTGGTCAATGATATTTGGTATGCAGTTGTATTAGCACTGGCACATCTCATTTCCATGGAGATTATTTGGCCCTGCCCCCTCAGCCATGGTCTATTGACTTTGAAACTTTTGCTTAGTTTACGTGTATTAGTTTGTGATTAGGTCAGTTTATAGGGAACCACTAGTGGTAAGTCAATGATATTTGACATGCAGTTGTATAAGCATTGTCATATCTTATTTCCATGGAGATTATTTGGCTCCGCCCCCTCAGTCATGGTCTATTGACTTTGAAACTTTTGCTTAGTTTACATTTATTAGCTAGTGATTAGGTCAGTTCAAGGGGAACAACTAGTGGTAAGTCAATGACATTTGGTATGCAGTTGTATAAGCATTGGCACATCTCATTTCCATGGAGAATATTTGGTCCCGACCCCTCAGTCATGGTCTATTG